GACTCAGCCCCCTGAAACCTGACCCCTTGCCTCATTTGAATAGCTTCCCTCAATAAAAGGGGTCAGTGTGTGTGTGTGTGTGTGTGTGTGTGCGCTCTCTCTCTCTCTCTCTCTCTCTCTCTCTCTCTCTCTCTCTTCCTGTGGACCCTTAAGGTCAGAGGAGCCTTCACAGCGACCTCAAAGAAAAAAGTATTTGTGTCTCTTGTGTGATTATTTTGTGCAGCCCAGTTAGCCCAGTTCACCTGGAGTGACCTCTGAGCCACTTAGTCTCAAACAGAAACCCGGCACCACATGAGATAGGAATCCAGGGAAAAAACTCATCTTTGAGGGATGCATCACTGGCAAGATGGGGTTGTTTTAGCAAGCTTTTTCACTGTTGTAACTAAAAGACCTAACAAAAACAGTTTTAGAGAAAGAATATTTTGAGGTCTGGGTCCATAGATAGCCTGCTCCACTGCTCTGGGACCAAGGTGTGGCAGAACATCATGGTGAAAAACTGTGATGGAGGAAAGTGGGTCAGGACATTACCAAGAGGAAGTAGAGAGACTGCGCGATGCTCAACAAGGACAAAATATAAACCCCAAAAGCATGCTCCCAGGAACCAATCTCCTTCAGCCATACCCTACCTGCGTACAGTTACACCCAGTTAATTCCTATCCAGGATTAAGGCACTGATTAGGTTAATGCTCTCATAACCCCATCATTTTGCCTCTAAACTTTCTTGCATTGTTTCACGTGGCTTTTGGAGGACACTTAATATCTAAACCATAACAGGGGTGAGCTAAAAAAAAAGATTTTCATTTTGGATCTGTTGGGCAGTCAAAGGTAGTTCAACAGGGAGCTGAAGGGCTGGGGCACAGGTCCACACTAGAGAGAAAGAGGAGTGCAAACCACAGGGAGCCAAATCCATCAAAGCAAACTGTAGAGTGAGAAGAATGGAGCCCAGGAGGGAGCACCTGGATGAGCTCTGTGAACARGTAGAAAGGGGAGCAGAATTCAGGGAAACAGAGAATAAAGGCATCATGACAGAGGCTGCGACAGTAACTGACAAAGAATTTCCAGGAGGAAATCATGGGCAGTGATTTCTAACAAGGCAAGGGACTGTCGATTCAACTACACTTCAGATTATTAATGAGCTTATGAAGAACTAAGACAGCACTGAGTGGGACAAAGTATAAATGAGCAATGGGAATATTTGCCAGAAAATAACTTTGAACAGGGGGCTGCACACCCTGTGTGTGTAGATGGGCTGAGACATGTGTACAGAGAGTTACTGAATGACCTGTGGTCAGAAGAATCCTCCAGAAAATCCATGAATCGATATGGCCTTCCAAAACCTGCCAAAGACCACACTATTTTACTAATTCCAGAAAAACCTTAAGACAGCTTTCCTTTAGAACAAGTTAGTTCCACTGMAGAAAGTTAGAAGTGTTTATTTCCAGGCGTTAGTGAAAAAACTCACCACAGCATCACCTCCATGTCTAATGAAGTCAATGTTTTCAGCTTTTGGTGGTGTTATGTCCCATCAAAGGTGAGCATGCACTCCTCTCAGGTTCTTTTCAAATCATGTAGCAAATGTAACTGCATTGTGTCAGGCATCAGAAAGACGAATTCTACTCAACATAGATGTCTTTCAGGTCTCAAAGCCTGCCTATAGCTKAGTGCAATGGCACATGCATGCATATCTGCAATCTGAGAACTGAGGCAGGAGGATCATAATTTCACACAGTTAAGGCACCTTAGCAAGACCATGCCTTAAAATAAATTAAAAAAAAAAAAAAGCTGGGGATGTAGCTCAGTGGTATGCACCTATGGGTTAATCTCAAGCATCAGAGTCAGAGAAGATGACCCTCTCTTAGCTCCATGTCAATT